TCACCTCTAGGGGCAGAAGAGAGGAGGCAGTTTGAGCAAGAAACCGTTTTGTGTATGTGTTTTATACAGTCACCTCAGGAATCAAAGTCCACAAGATTTCAGGAAAGCATAGTGTCTTAGGGTTTTTTATTGCTATAAAGAGACACCATGGCCATGGAAACTCTTAAAAAGGAAAACATTTGATTGGAGCTGGCTTACAGTTCAGAGAGGTTTAGTCCATTATCATCATGCTGGGAAGCATGGCCACATGCAGGCAGACATGGTGCTGGAGAGGGAGCAGTGGGTTCTATGTCAGGACTGGCAGGCAGCAGAAAGAGAGAGTGACACTAAGCCTGTTTTGAGCTTCTGAAACATCAAAGCCCACCCTCAGGAACACACTTCCTCCAACAAGGCTACACCTCCTAACAGTGCAACTTCCTGTGGGCCTATGGAGGCCATTTTCATTCAAACCACCCAACATAGAAGTGTGCACCACCATGCCTGTCTTCATTTTAAAGTCCTTTTTTTGACTTTCAGGGGGGTTATAGCAGTGACCCCTAGTGTTCATTTTTCTTTGCTCCCATAGAGTGGCAGGATGTGGAGTTGCAGGAGGAGAAAGGATCTAGAGGTAGAAAAAAATTCATCAATGTCATTAGAGAAGGTGCGTCTTAGTCAGGGTTACTATTGCTGTGATGAAACGTGCTGACCAAAAACAGCTTGGGAGGAAAGGGTTTACGTCACTCACAGTTCCATATAATGCTCCATCTTCAAAAGCACTGAGGGCAGAAACTCAAGCAGGGAAGGAATCTGGAGCTGATGCAGAGGCCATGCGGGAGTGCTGCTCACTGGTTTGCTCATCATGGCTTGCTCAGCCTGAGTTCTTATAGCACCCAGAACTACCAGTCTAGGGATAGCACTATCCACAGTGGGCTGGGCCTTCCCCCATCAATCACTAGTTAAAGAAATGTCCAACAGCCAGGCATTTTCTCAATGAGGTTCCCTCCTTTCACTTAACTCTAGTTGTGTCAAGTTGACATAGGACTAGCCAGAATGGGATGCGTTTTTACTTTTAAAACTTAGGCTTCAGAAACTACAGATAAAGCTGGGTGTGCTGGCAGTCTTAGTTTGCTTTCTAGTGCTGTGATAAAACACCACAATCACAAGCAACTAAGGGGAGGAAGGGTTTATTTCGCCTCATAACTACTGTTTCGGCTCTATAATAACTCAAGCTTATAAAGTAACTATGAAATGTCCTTCAAATATTCTTCATGGCTTATTTTTTTTCCTCTCTTGTTTCTGTTTTGTTAGATTCATGCTGAAAACAAAAAACAAAAAAAACACATTGTCTTGCTGGGATGCGGAGTCCTGGCAGAAGAAGATAAAAGGAGGGTGAGGCAGACCAGAAACATGCTAGGGAAACTGAAAGAGAGAAAACATTCAGAGCAGATCACCCCGACTTGATCTTCACTGATAACACGGTGGCCCCTGTGTTGGGTTAGTCATTACAGAAAGCCTTAGCAGGCCTGCACATTGTGGGTTCACACTGACCGAAAGCTGGCGTTCTGAAAACCCTTTTACCAAGCAGTTAAGATACCATTTTATCTTTTATTAGTAAAAATGTCTGTTCAGGACAAGATCTCTCTTACAAAGCCTCAATGCAATAATTGAATTTAGGAATACTAACATTGATAGTGTCTAATACATAGTCCATAGCATCCACTTTCCCTACAGCTTCCTTCTCCTAGTTTGAGGACCACGCTTTGCCTTTAGCTGTGATGTCTCTTTAGTCAACTGTTTTTGTGGAATATTATTTTAAGACGTGTTACATTTGTTTATACTGTAGAATATTTGTTTAATGATGCAAAGATGTGTTTCATTATTTATGTTGCATTTGTTTAACTCTGTGAAGCTATATTACTTTGCCTGCCTAAAACACTTGATTGGTCTAATAAAAAGCTGAATGGCCAAAGCTAGGCAGGAGAGGGAGTAGGTGGGGCTGCCAGGCAGAGAGAATGAAGAGAAGAGAGAAGAAGCATGAGAGAAGATGGGAAAAAAGGAGGGAGAGGCGGATGCTAGGGTCAGCCATCCAGCTGCACAGCCAGACACAGAATAGGAAGGAAAAAAGATATATAGGAATAGAGAAAGGTAAAAGCCCAGAAGCAAAAGGTAGATGGGATAATTTAAGAGAAACTGACTAGAAACAAGCCAAGCTAAGACTGGGCATTCGTAAGTAAGAATAAGTCTCCATGTATTAATTTTGGAGTAGGGGGCAGGCCCCCAAAGATCCAAAGAGTTAGAAGAAAAACAAAACTATAAACTGTAATCTGGACCAGTGTCTTGGCATCTTTGTCTTTCATACTGTTGGTATTTCTGATGGGTGCTGATCAACTGTTTTGCAGGATGTTCCTTGCTCTGAGTTTGCTTCATGTTTCCTCCCAACCATATTTAGCTTATATATTTCTAGCAGGTAAGTGATATTGTATCTTTTTTCAGGTGATCAATCAGAAAATCTATAATGTCACTATTGGTGATTTAAATTCTTATTTTATTTTTTTAGTACATCTTAAACCATAACAAAATATACACATTCAAACGTGTTTCTATTCTCATTTTATCATGAAAGAGATTCATAGTAAGCTAAACTGCTTTAGTTTAGCATTCACGAACTTAGTCTTTGATACTTAGTCTTCCTTGCCATTTCTGCTTTGTGTGATTGTTGGCTAATAAGGGTGCTGCTGGGCGCTAGAAGGTTGGATATAAAACTGTACAAGGAACAAATTACCTCTGATCATGTGAATCAGAATTCTCCTTATATTGTACAACTCAGCCACATAAAAAAGTTACATCAGAATCTAGAAGCTGATTTGAGTTAATCAACAGTAGACCTCACTCGATAGTTTTGAGTTCATCAAAAGAAACTCATTGGTCTTAATGCTAGACTTTATGCTAATCTGGACTTATATAAGAACTTACAGAATATCTTTGCACAGATTGTACATACATTTTAGACTTGAGGTTCCTGTTCATGACAATGACTATAATAATGTTCTCCAAATCCAGCCATTTGGAAACCACATAGCACCCTGCTATAGCTCCCATTTCCTGCACGTTCTTATACTCTGAAGGTTTCCATGTCTCTTTTCCTAGGGCCTAAAATTTTACCCTGATCTTCAATAACCCCAGGACTCAGGGAACACATATGTACAGAGCATACATACATAGCCACTTACTGATAGGACCTGTTTACATTGAAATACACTGATATGAATCACTCTGTACAAGTGTCTCTGTAGCCCTGGTCCACTCTCACAAATGACCCATGCACAGGACAGTCCTACCTTGGAAGTATCTATCCCACAGTTCTTCCTCTACAAACAAGCACAATGAGATCCAAACATCCTGTGAAGAAAGAAAGCTGCACACAGTAGCCAAACTGCAGCCCAGCTACCTCTGCTGTGCCAGGGATCAGGGTGGCTTTCTGACAGCAGAGATGCTCCATGAAAATGATCAAGGCACTGTCCCCTCTCTTGGCAAGTGTGGGTTGTTGGCAGCTGAAACATGCCAAGGTCCTTCAGTCTAATTTACTCATCTCAAATTCAGCCACAGAGCTGAAGACCAGCCAAGTCCTGGAGGCCTCTAGATTTCCTAATAGATTCTGCACTGAAGATGGCCCTAACAGAGACACAGGCCTGGAGAGGTGCAGGTGCTGGACAATGCCCCTTACAATATATTTGCACCAGGAAAATTTAGTTTATGTTTGAAAAAAAAAACATTTTAAGATTACCTAGTGTGTCTTTAAGTTGGAAATCACATACAACTCATTACAACCCGTGGAATTAATTTCATACAACCCCATACAATAGCTACTTGGAAGGTGTCAGGTAGTGGGGAGGGGGTGTGTAAAAAAGTTTAGGACATGGCCAGGCAATGATGGTGCAAGCCTTTAATCCCAGCACTTGGAAGGCAGAGACAGGCAGATCTCAGTGAGTTCGAGGCCAGCATGATCTACAAAGTGAGTTCCAGGACAGCCAGAACTGTTAGACAGAGAAACCCAGTCTTGAAAATCCATTTTTTAAAAAGAAGTTTAGGACATGGTCTTCTGTGCTAGAAGCCTGTAATCATCCTGAGATGATTCATACATATATTAAAAACTCACTAGTACACGGTAAAGTCTGATGGCATGCTCCGATGAATGGAAGAAAAAAAGGACCTCTGTGAATGGAGGAAGAGTAAACCATGTTGTTGAATTCCGGGGCTCATAAATCAAATGATTTGCATGAAGTCGCAGCTTCTCCACTTCCTAGCAGTGTGGCAAGTTCTTTAAGCTTTCTAAAGCACAGCTCTGAGCTTTTTGGTGATCGCTACTATTGCCATTTCTATTCAGCCATCACTTCAAGGGTGGGTAGCACATGAGCACAGGAGAGTGCGACAGAATCATAATGGATCTTTCGCGCCAAAGCTGCTCAAGTTATGTTTGTAACTTTGGTGGTACCTACAAGGCAGGGGTTGAAGAAGACAGC